AAGAAATCTTTTGTGGGGTTGACTTGAATAAAATAAGTTGATAACTTGTTGAGTAGTGGAGTTGGAAGATTGGCTAGTTCATTAGGTACAAGGTTTAATAGCATTAGTAAAGTGCTTTTTGCACCATTTGAATGTATTCTTTCGGTAATTTTTGTTACAAAACTAGAGTTTGAGTCTAAATATTTTTTAATTTTAGATGATGTTTCTAGTTTCGAACATCCTTTTGACAGTAAAGAATAGTGAACCCAAACCTTATTAATTAGGATGATTAGCCGCAAAGTTTCAAAAGGATATGCATAATTTTAGATGATGTTTCCGTGATCCCTACACGTGACCTTCGTTGTTTGCTCGACCACTGTTTCCCTCTCTTTTGGGAGGTTCTCTTTTGTTTTTTTGGGCTCGTCGCTCTTTGCTTTGAACCGGGTGTCCGATTTGGCGGGGGTGTATCTTGGATGTTGCCGAATCACTGGGCTTCATCTCCCGATTTTAGGTGTCTCTGGCGCAAGCTTGTTTCTTTGATGTCGCCTTCTTCTTTAGCTCAATCATTCGCATTGTCGATATCTAGGGGTGAAAGTAATTTGGATTAAAACCGAACCAAACCGAAAACTAAACCGAATTAGTAATTCGGTTTGGATTTTTTTTTAATTCGGATTGGAAAAATTTAAAAATATGGATGACGGATTGGATTTGGTTTGGGGTTTAAAAAAACCGAAAACCGAATTTCGACCCAATACTTTAAGCCCATTTTCTTTTTCAAAGTATCCAACCACTTTCCCCTTTCATATATAAACTTAAAAAAAGAACCTAGTTCTCAATTCTCCTCTCTCAATATCTTACTCTCTCACAAAGAATGTAGTTAACAAGAAATGATTGTAGGAATTTTTAGGGTAAAGTTCGAGTTTCGGATTTGAATGTTGCAAAAGAAGGGAACAAATTTCGGTTTGGATTGGATTCTAATTTGAAAAGCCAAATTAATTCGGTTTGGATTGGATTAGATTAAATCTTAATTCGGTTTAGATTCGGATTGAGATTTCCGAAATCGAATTAATTCGGATTGGATTTGGTTTTGGCTATAATCCTAACCGCAAACCGAACTTTCACCCCTATCGATAGGTATCGGACTTTTGGTTCTTTTGGGCAATCATTCTCATGGAGCTCATCCTGTAGATCGTATCTCTTTCTCTTGCACGGATATGGATGACAATCTCTTTAGGATCTTGTTAAGCTTTTCTATATGCTCGCACTCCCACCATTTGTGTGGGCCTCGACAAAGTATGCAATTCGGCATTCTAGTCTTTGCCGAGGATGTGCTGGCCTTAGTTTTTGGAGTTGTGGGAAGGGGTTGATGTTGATCTGTGTTCGACGTTGATCTCTGCCCATCACCTCTTCCACTTCTTCTCTGATATGTATTGACAGTGTTGACGATACTCGCGAGCCATTCTGGAGAGCTTGGAGCCGGGCTATTGGAGCGTGTTGACGTCCCACTTGAATTATTCTTGGATTGACGACCCTTTTCGCCTGAGTAGTCCATCAATCTCGAACACACGATCTATCTCGTTCATGTCTGTGATGTCCAACATTGTCGCCAAGTATTCCTTCACATTGTCGCGAAGAGAGCCCTTCTGGCGGCAACTTCGTCCGAGCAACGTAGTCTGTGTTGTCCGGGTAGAATTGTTCTTTGAGTTCCTCTTTGAACTCTTCCCATGTATCGATCTTTGTCCTTCTTACTTCGACGTCAGTGTGCTTGGTGCGCCACCAAAGCTTGGCATCTTCGGACAAGTACATGATGGCAGTATCCACCTTGTGATCGTGACTTAATTGACATATTCGGAAATACTGCTACATTATGCCGCACATTTGGGCGGCTTTATCTTCGCCGCACCAATACCAAGTGTGTTGCCCCCAGCGCGTATCATAGCACATTTCTCAAGTGCTTCATCGGCTTGTCCTCGAATAAATTGCAACGGTTCACGGAGAGCATCTTTATCTTCCATCAAGTTTACAATTTGATCGGCTTGCTCGTGTACAATGACTTGCAGCTGGGACCATTCGTCCGCTTTCGTCTCGAGCCAACCAAGTCTTTCCTCTTCGAATTCCATTTTGTGTAGCCCTCCTTGGTGCCTACACGGGTTGCTTGCGACGATGTTTGAACTTCATACCAATTGTCATGGTTCAAGAGTTTTTAGCGCCGAAATGTGCGGCATGCTTTAACGTTTTGGCGGCAAGAATGTAAGCCTTGAGCGGAAGAGGGGCTTGTGAGCACAAAGCAACACAAACGTGCAATTAAATCACAGGAGCACTCTCGTGTATTTGGGCGACAGAGTGCGAGTGGTCAGGGCTTGTGACGGTCGATACTTCAAGGCGGGCACAAGCGGGTCCGAACCACGAGGTCTTAGAGCGTTAAGTTGGTTTGGAGGGGAGCTATTATGCAAGTAAGACACAATATCTATAAACGTTTAATAACAAACAAGCATAAAAGCAAGACAACACTTGGTAGAAGGCTTAAGATTTCATTAATCATTCACCCTCTAAAGAGCTTTAATTTGATTACAAAGAGAATCCCTAGTGAACATTGAATTGATAGTAACACTATAATGGGACCTCAAGCTTAGAAAACATAAAGTAAAATCGAAGGAAGCATCTAAAGGGAATCCAATACATCAAATGGAGTCGGATTCTAACACATGGTTTAAAGCCATTTTGGAGAGTTGTGAGTTAAACTTACTATTGAAGATTGATAACTTTAAGCTATCAAACTTATCATTTGTAAACCTTTTGCCATTTTCAATCAATATTCAAGTTTCATAATTATAAATCAGAAAATCAGTTCATCGAACTTGGTATTAGAGCGGTGGTCTTGTGACTGCTGGCGTTGAAAACTACCTCTTCAGAAAAGAAAAAAAAAATTTGCAGTTTGCGAGAACAGATGTAGCACATCTCATGAGTCAATGGATTCAAGAGGGATTCGAACACCTTTAGGATTTCACGCATAAGGGAGCTAAGAACTTCGGATCTCAAGGAGGAGCACAAAACAAGACAAGAGCTTCAACTTCTAGAGTATAATGGAATAAATTTGGATGATTGGATTCTTCAACTAGAGGATTCCTTCAAATTTTTCCAGTTAAATTAGGAGGTGAAATTGAAGCTTGCCATCATTGGGCTTAGCAACAAAGCATTGTAGGGGTTTAAATGTGAACACAGGTGGCTACCAATACGGGAGTGGCAAATTCTGAAGGTAGTCTTGGTGAGTCGTTGCGGCTCGTCATCATCGTGGCAGGAGCAACAAACTCCAACACAATCAATCGAAGAGGAAACAAAGGTGTCATCTCACAGATTCTCAACTCAAATGAGGTAGAGGATGTCATGAAGAGAACCATTGGAAATGTTCAAAGAGATTTGGACAAAATTACTAACAAAGCCTCTTCTCCGATGAAGACGAAGGAAGAAGACTATCATACTTTTCTCCAGCAAAGGATGGTGAACACAATCTGCAAGTTTTGCCTTGTTTGGACGCCTTACATCACCCAAAACCTGCAAGCCCTACATTTTGCAACAAAGTTTGCAAGTTTTGCCTTGTTTTGGACGCCTTACATCACCCAAAACCTGCAAGCCCTTCATTTTACAACAAAGTTTGCAAGTTTTGCCTTGTTTTGGACGCCTTGAGTGGTGGCTTGATGACAGACCTTCAGTACCGAGCTATAGCATCTGATTATTATCCACCTTGAGGACGTTAGTAATGAGCTGACTTAGGGGAGGATATTATGGGTAGTTTAGTACGTTGATAGTTATCAAATGTAGTATGGGCAATTTGGGAAATCTAGTATTATTAGGTTAGTAGTTTGTAACCTTAGTATAAATAGAGAGAGGGAGGAAAGAAGAAGGTGGGCAAAAATTTGTCAGGGAAACCTAGAGAGAGTCATGGCCTAAAGCCGTTTTTGGAGAGTTGTGAGCTAAATTCACTATTGAAGATTGATAGCCTTAAGCTATTAAACCTATCCTTTGTAAACCTTTTGTCATTTTCAATCAATATTCAAGCTTTAATCTTTATTTACTAGCAATATTTAATCAGAATTATAAATCAGAAAATAAATTCATCACAACGTGAAAAAACCCAAATAGGCCACTAAATAAGGGATGGAGAGAGTAGCATTCAAGCAAAAAATAAAATAAAGTGTCCCTAACTCACCAATAGAATCCGAAATTTCTATCATCACAACCTTACTAACCATGCGGTCTTTGGTTACAATGGCATTGCTGCCACTGTTGTGTTCATGTCTTCAGATTTTTTTTTTTTTCCCCTTCTCATTTTAGATCAGACAGTAGAGTGGTGGGAAAGGATGTTGGGGAATTTAAAAGTATGTGGTGTTGTTATTTTCCCTTCACCATTCATGGTGGTTGCTGGTGTAGGACTGCCTATCATGTAGGGTTGGGTTGGTGGTGGTAGCCATTGGTAGGAGACAGTGGGTTTACATGGTTGAGTGATAAAATGACAAATTGTGATGCCAGTGAGGAGCAAGAATTATTGAATAGGGGGTTCATTTTAGATGGAAATGGACTTACCTATTTTAAAAAAATATGGAGGGGTGGACCATGAGCATTTAACTGCTCATGAAGGATTATGGCTGTGTATGCCTGACACCCCTATAACCCTATCCTTGACCCCTCAGTTGTAAGCCCTGTGGGACTGTGTGTGGCACTAAGTTAGTTAGTATTTTTATGAGTATTATCAAAATGGTTATGGAAACATACAGAAATTTCTAAATTCAAGGGCCTAAGTTTAAATCAACAGAAATGCAAAAAGTTCCATCATTAATATACATTATGTGCAGCTGAAATATGATACGTGTTTGCATTTTACTGCTACTTGAAGGCTTTTGTCACTTTCTTGGTGTGGTGAATGTTTTCCAATTCATGTGTCTTTTTTTTTTCGTTAGAAACCATCTTCAGTTTTCCACCTTCAAATTACAAGCTCTAATAATTATTGTTTAACATATATGTAGGATCAATATTGGGCACCTCCAGATTTCAAACGAGTATTGTCTTCAAAACTAAAGTTTTTGACATCAAGTGGAAAGCTCATCAAGGTAAATTAATATTGCATTTACTACAGAGCCCAATTTAGTTGGATAACAAAAGCAGTGCATTCCATGTATTGCTTTATACGAAGTATGTTTGACTAACTTTGATCTTGTTTCTCTGTTCATATAATTGATCTATTAAGTTCAAAATATGACTGCAATGTCTCCTTAAATGGGTCTTCCTTCAGACGGACAAATATCCACTAATATATCCCTACTTACCCGCCACAGCATTACCCCTTTTAGAGCCCACTAAACCTCATATACTTATTTTTCATTCTCCCATACTCCCATAACCACCCACTGAATTTGCATCTTTATCCACAACTACTTGATTTAAATTTTATTCAATTAAACCTGCGACTAAAACTTTTAAAACTATGAGCAGCAATACCCATTTGTATTTTGGCAAGAATCTCCGGTAAGTGTGGCTCTCTTTTTATTTTTCTCTTAAAATTGGTTCTAACCCTCGTCTTTATGCCTGCCAACCTTCTTTTTTCATCTTCTCTTCACAATAAAATCCAAACATCCAAAAAATGGTGGATGTTTTTGTGAAGAGAAGATGAGAAATGTAGGGTTGGCAGTTATAAAAACAAGGGTTAGAGCAAAATTTAGAAGGAAAAATAAATGTGGGCCCTTCTTACCGGAGATTCTTGCCAGAAATCACAAATAGGTAGTGATACTTAGGCCCTTTTTGGTTGAAGGGATTTGGATGGAAAAGAAAAGAAAGGAAATTATTTTAATCAAATTCCCATATTTGGTTGAATAAATGACATAAAATCTAAAGGAAAGGAAGGGAAGTGGGAGGAAAGTCTCTTAACAAAATTTTGGCTTTTCTTTCCTCCCAAAATTGGAGGAATTTGACTGGAAAGAGAAAAATAAAAGTAATTTCCTTTCTCTTCCCTTCCTTTCCTATTCATCAACCAAATATTGGAAAATAAAATCACTTTCCTTTCCCTTCTTTTCCCTTCCCATCTTTTCTCTTCTTTTCCTTTACTAATATTGAACCAAACAAAGCCTTAAAGTCTTAAAATTTTGGTAGTTTTGTTGAAAAACATTTAAAGCGGGTAGTTGATGACAAAAGTGCATATTTGACATTAAAAAGTTTTTATTTTTAATGCTGCTTAATGTTTGAGAACTGAGCCATCGTACCTCTGAATGTGTAAGCATGTGCTGGTTTAGACATGCTACTGAAAATTATTGGGTTGGAAAGATTTTAATCTGGTTGTCTGACATTTTTTTTATTGTATTGTGCCTTTTTTTTTTTTTCTTATTGTATCGTACCTTTAATATGTATTTCTAAAGGATAGTGAATCCATGGAACTTAAAGTTGTGATGAGATGACAATGAATATTGAGATGTTAGTGTGATTTGGACAAGTATTAGGTATAGACTGCTATCTGTTGGTTTTGTGTCATTTCATCTTTGTTTTTAATTTGAGACGTACCTTGAACTCTTCAATTTTAAGCTACCTCTTTCAGGTTAAACGGAATTACCAAATATCGCCATCCTTTGCATTTCCGGAAAAGAGGAGAAATCTTCCTATGTTGGCTCAAGAAATCAGGCAGGTGAATTTACCCAAAATGGATAGGGATGATCTATCTATGCTTAAATCTCAGATTGATCTAGAGCTTGCTAAGATGAGAAGTATGACCCCACAAGATGCTGCGGCTGCTGCTTCTCGTGCTGTTACTGAGGCTGAAACTGCTTTAGCAGAAGCTGAAGATGCTGAAAGGGAAGCTGATGAAGCAGAAGCAGATGCGGAAGCAGCTCAAGCACTTGCCAATGCAGCAGCAAAGATGCTTAGAGGAAGGAACGCTCCTAAGGTGGTAAGAACTGCCTGCTGAGGAAATCATTTGTCCTCCTTTCATTGTGGAACTCTCACCACTTGTATGTGGAATGTATCAGTTGTGGTCGGTGATATTTCATAAAGCTTACCAATCTGCTGTTGAAACCACATTTGGAGTGTTAAAATAGACTTAAAACTTGGCCACACTAAATGGAGTGAAGATTTTAAGTAGATTTAGTGGTTAATTGAAACTGAAGGCCCCACTTTGTGGAATTTGATTAATAAAGTTCTTCAAACATATTTGGATCCAAATGGTAGAAACTCATGCTTTGAATTAAACAGTTGATGTGATTAATGCTCTGTACTTGACAAAGATGTTTAATAGTAGATTGATTATACCGTCACCATATTTAAAATAAGTAAGGCATTTAGGAAGAATTTATAACTTTATCATTGCTCTCTGTTTTGTTGCCCTAATGCCCCCCATCATTTTATACTTGGGTTAAGGATCATTTTCCTACAGTTGTGGTCTTGTGGATGGTGCTCTCCAAACAATCTGTTTAGTCAGCGCGCTCATAATCCTATGTTTTGCTTCTGGTGTGCAGATGATGCGAGCTTGATAGATGAGTGTTTAAAGACAATTTTTGGCCGCCACCCATGCTTACTATTGTTCCGTTAAGAGAATGAACACTTCCAGCTTATGCTGCCTTGTAAATATGCCTGTAGATGCATTTTTTTGGTCTATCGTTGGAATCTTGGGGGATCTTTGTTTGTAAACATGTACTTTGTAATAGCTCTTCTGCCTTCGTTTTCTCTTGGCTGTTGTAGGCTGTAGTCCAGATGGAAGCAAAATGTAGGTTTTCTGCAGGTCTTGTGGATAGTTGTCCTGCAATTATTTATATACTCAGCTTTTCGAAATATTTGTAAATTGTACATCGTATAACAATACATGAAATATAGGTTTAATCGACTGAAGATTTAGAACTGTTGCTGCTGATACCATCTGATTAGTATCTTTTAAGCTGCTGAAAAATATGTGGATTTGTTTTCCCTTCTAAAGTCCTAACTGACAACCATTATTCTCGCATAAAGCACTATTTTTTATGTCTTACCTTTGCAACTTGTGTTGGACTCTGATATACATGAACCGCTTTACTATTGAACTGAATGCTTAAGATTTTCTCTGTTTCTCTATGCATCAATTTGACATGTTATTTTATTCATATGCTGAACTTTATACGTAGAATCTTCTTATTTTTAATTTGTGCAAATAAATGGCATTCTTTGAATAGTTTATGGGTTTATCACTATCTTAATGTATATTCTCAAAACTAAAATTTTCACAATTTTTTTCAATTAATGGTCAAAGTCATATGACAGTTGCCAAAAAGTCAAAATAATTCATAAATAATACATAAATATATATATGAGGAAATGATACATTTATTGAAAAATAATGAAATAAGAAACTTTATTGTTCATTATTTTTAATAGCAATGTTCTTCATTGTCAATGTGGTAGTTCTGGTATACACCCCTCTTTATCTTGTTTTGCAACAGGCTACTCAAAATCAAATTGGAACTGAACCTTATTGAACATGTTACTAGAGTTGAGAATTGGACTTGGAACTACCGGTGACAGGTTCTAGTTTAGGTTAACATTGCCATCTTATGTAGTTAAATACTTCATAAATTGTTGTAAAGTTATAATCACAAAAAGTATTATGTGATTTGGGCTTATATTGTTGTATGATTTGGGTGTAAATGGTTTTTCTATATATTTATTCTATTATTCCCCCATAAATGAACTTGGACTGATTTCTGATTTTAACTCCAATAATATTATTATCCTTTTGTGGGTCCACTAACTCGGTATTAGAGGTGACTGTTAACAAGGTATTCTAAAGTTTCCAATTTCAAAAATTAAAAATCGATAGTGGAACATTGTAAGTTTGTAACAACCTATACATGTTTTGATTTTTGTTACTCGAAATAATAAGGAAAATTTGAATTTTAGTACCTCGAATATGGGGGTAATTGAATTTTAGTACCCATCTAAAATTTTATTTTAAATTAGTACCTCCAAAATGACAAAACTATAGGTTTCAGTACCTCCGTCTAGTTCCGTTAAGTTTTCCGTTAGTGGGGCCCAATAACTAATAATTTAATTTATTAAAAAAAAGGAAAAAATTTTGTAAAAAAAAAACTAAAAAAATAATAATAATAATAAAAACAGCCACTGCCACCACCGCCGGCGCCGGCTTCCGGCTGTTGGTGGCCAAATTCCCCTGGCACCAGCGCCGGCCACCCCTTCCCTTTCCCTCCCTGTTTTCCCCTTCCCTGGCACCGGCGCAACCACCACCATCTTCCCTCCCTTCCTCGTTCCTGGCCGCGACACCCCACCCCTCCCTTTCCCTCCCTGTTTTCCCCTTCCCCAAAACCCTAGCGCAACGGTGGCCGTCACCCTAACCCAGCCCCATCGTTGTCTCCCCGACCCGAAGCCGTCGCCGAACTACCCAGATCAGACCCCAACCCAAACCAGCCTAGCGAGAAGCCCCCATCGTCATCTCCCGACTCCAAACCAGCGTCGAACTACCTAAACTAGCCCAGCAAGAAGCCGACTGCAACAAATCAACCCACCACCGCCCCAGTTTTCCTCTCCCTTACCCAAAACCGTCGTCAAACCAGGGTACAGTTGGGCTCGTTTCGAAGGTCGATCGAGCTGAGGGTGGTCGGACGGCTGGTTTCGTGGTTCGAGGAAGGTCGGCCGGCTGACTTCGTGGGTCGAGGGTGGTCAATTGGGATGGGTGACGGCGATGGGGGTTGGCGGCGCCGGTGGTGGCTGGTTAAGATTTTAGGGATTTTTCATTTTTTTAATTTTTTTAATTATTTTTTTAAGTTTTTTTTTTATAAAATGTTTTTTCTTTTTTTTTAATAAATTAAATTATTAAATAATTAGAAATGGGCCCCACTAACGAAAAACTTAACGGAACATGGACGGAGGTACTGAAATCTACAGTTTTGTGTTTTTGAAGGTACTAATTTAAAATAAAATTTTAGATGAGTACTAAAATTCAATTACCCCATATTCGAGGTACTAAAATTCAAATTTTCCAAATAATAAATTTCTAACAAATTCTGTTCCAACTACAAGTATCTACTATACACTCTGTACATTTCACAAATCCTCTAATCAAATACAAGTACTATATTACTTTTGATAATCGATACGTTTAAGTTTAACTAAGTAATAACATAATTAATATACATGATTAAATTCGTATTGTTCCTTATGATGATTCATGTTAATTGACCCCGAATTATTTTGAGACTAAGGCTTTTGTTTTTGAATTTTTTTTAGACAATTTATTTATTCATCCTTTTTACAATCTTATTCTTAATTCATAAACACTTTAAATATTAAATTCCTGTCAAAAAAAAAATAGAACTGATTCTCACAAAGGATAAAAGATACGGAGTAAAAGGAATACAAAGCCCAAGGAGTTTCCCTCAAAAAAAAAAAATCCCAAGGAGTCAAGATTACACAAGTTCTCGGCCCAACAAAAGTAATATAATAAAGTTCAGGATAATTATCAACAACATCAGAGTGGCGCAGCGGAAGCGTGGTGGGCCCATAACCCACAGGTCCCAGGATCGAAACCTGGCTCTGATATAGAGTTGCTTCCGATGCCATAATTTTTCATTTTAAAAACTTTTTTAATCAATCTTGTAAAAAAACAAAAATACGGAGTAATATATTAATATCCAAAATATAACATTCTTGGTTTTCTGGAATATAAATTTAAAATGCAATAGAAAAGATATCAATAATTGATGCTTCATTAGTCTGACTAATTGCCTATAATCTACATTTCTATTGATAGCCATGTGAATTAAATCTTCAAAAAAATAATTGAGTAGCTTATAGAATTAATAGAAATAAAGGAACCGACCAATGTCTAATCACAACTTTTTTTTTTATTTTTTTTTTTTTGGCTTTGAAAGATAAAGCCATAAAGGTTTCCTTTTCTAGGGTAGATCATTTAACATGGTAGACTTTATTATTCTACTTTACTTACTATAGAAATTTCTAAGGTTTTGCTTTTATATGGTTTTTTTTATTAACATAATGTCAATTTCGTCGTTATATTCATATTTATATGTAAAATATAATGACTAATAACCTCAATAATTACCATCACCCACGTAGGTAACTTTTTTTGGTTGTCAAAAATTTAATTTGGTAGAAAGAGTATTAAATTCACGGAATTTCATTATTGAAAGTAATTTCCGATAATAAACTTATTTTTATTTATTTATTTTTTTAAAAAAAAAAACAAACTTAATTTACTACTCCGTAAAAGGTTTAAACAAACTTAGTTTAAAAGGTTTAAACTTGGAGAAAGCCTAAAAAAAAGATATTATTGTCACCTTTAAAAAACAAGATATGATAATAAAAAAAGTCATGAGGAAGTTTAAGTGCAAATGGAATGTTGAATTGCACCTCCAAACATCTTAATAGATCTCTACTTTTACCGGTTTTTGAGTTTCTCAAAACACATACGAAGTATAAAATTGAATTGCAAATAAAAAATGATTAGTAGTACCACTAATTAATAGCAAGCTAAAATCTAATATCAAATTTATACTAATTATCTTTTATACACATTGATGATTTATATTAATAACATCATTCCACAATCTTTAAAACACTTAAAAACTTATCTGATCTAAACACCACCAATACTAAACTAAAATGTCAATATTATACATGCATCGATCATATCTCTTATGTTTATTTTACCATCTACACTATCATCAACAATGTCCAAGGTTCAAGATGGCACTAGCCAGATCAGCATGAAAAAAGCATGTCACGTTATATTAGGTCCTGAGTCGGATCTAAGCCAAACAAAAGGCACATAGCGCCTAGCCAAACATAAGGCATGTAGGCTCGACATGAGCATGGCTCACCAGAGCCCACAACTATATTTAGCTTCATAACCAAAAGTAAATACTACCTCCGTTACAGATTATGTGCAACAATTTGACATAAAGCAGAGAGAGAAAATGTCTAATCGTTGCACATAACCTGTAACGGAGGTAGTAAATTCTTCTATGAGGAATTAGGGTTTTCCCTAAGCTGAAGAAATTACAGGCTGTTATGCATTAAAATGTAGCACAGTCATTCATAGACAAGCTACGGTAGATAAAGCACTGGGCATTGGATGCTGCCAAAGTAAGAGCAGAAGGTACCACATTATAACATGTAATGGGCCAAAATATTATGTAGGACTCTTTATGTATATCTAGGACTAACTACAGTACTATTTGTCTAAGTGTAATAACGTTAAAGACGTGCCTGTTAGAATATATGCAAATATATTCTTGTATATATCTCTTGTTTATATTAGTTAAGTGTATATTTAGGATTAATCCTTTCCTAGTTTGTTACCGTAATTATAGCATTAGATTGCTATTGTAATTTGTATATAATATTTACACAGCTAATGAAATGATCCAACGATCATATCACTTTCATGGTATCAGTAGGGTTTCGATCCTAATCTCATCTCTCACGGCCCATCTTCTTCTTCCCCTGTTCTTCCGCTGCAACATTCCATGGCTGACACTCCCAAATATCACCCTGCTTTGACAATCACTAATGTCAAATCCCTTATCCCGATCACTTTGGATGCCAACCAAGGCTTGTATCACTCTTGGGCCGCCCTCTTTAAAGTGTTATGTAGGGTTCACGACCTTACAGCACACATCGTCCCTCCTACGGAAGCTGCTGAACTCGAAGCATATGAGAAATCCAAGAAGGCAGACATGGCTTTTTGGCGAAGACTCGATGCCGCGGTCCTAAATTGGATATACAGTTCCATTTCTTCCGATCTTCTCACTGCCATCCTCCTCAAGGATGACACCGCTCAAGGTGCCTGGACACGTTTAGAATCTATGTTCCAGGACAATAAGGCATCACGAGCATCCCATCTCGAACAAGAGCTCGCAGACCTTGATTTCGAAAATTTTTCCTCCATTGATGGCTATTGTAATCACATCAAATCCCTCGCCGATCGTCTTGCGGATGTTGATGCTCCGATTCTCGATACCCGTCTAATTCTCAAGCTCACCGCCGGACTCCCTGAGGCATATGCCGGCACGATTGATTTCATTCAAAATCAAGAGCCGCTGCCATCCTTTGAAAGCTGCCGGTCCCGTTTAAAATTGGCCGAACGAGCCATCAAAAATCGTCTGGCTAAAGAGGGGGGGACCACCAGCCGTTCTCCGACTGCTCTCGTCTCCGGTCAGCACCATTCCGCAACCTCTGCGAACTCCTCCAGGTCGAACAAAAAGTCCAACCATTCCAAGAATTTTGACTCTAAACCCGCAAACAAGCCGCGCAATTCTGGCCCAGCCCAGCAGCAGCAATCCGGCCCAATGCGACAGTGGCAGTTTCAGCAAGCTCCTTGGCTTGCACAGTGGGCTCCGTATTGGGCCAATCCTCCGTGTCCATACCCCGCCCAGTCTTGGGCTCCAAGGCCGGCTTCTTCTTCGACAGGGTCACGGCCTGGTGGGCCTGGTATTCTAGGCCATGCTCCGCAAGCTTACCATGCCACGGATAATGGTCCTAATCCAACTCCGACGCACATTGAAGCCGCTTTGCAGATGCTAGCTAATATCAATCGCCCGGATACTAATTATTATATGGATACTGGAGCAACATCTCATATGACGGCTGACCAAGGTATTCTTTCTTCCTATATTAATTCGAGCATTAAAAATCATACCATTGTAGTTGGTAGTGATGATTTAATTCCAATTATTGGTCATGGTAGTGCTACTTTGCCTTCCCCGTACCCTCCATTTACCCTTAAACATGTCTTGCATGCTCCCAAATTAATAAAGAACTTGATATTCGTCCGTAAATTCACAACTGACTATATGGTTTCTATTGCTTTTGATCCTTATGGATTTTATGTGACTGATTTACAGACGGGAGCCCACCTAATGAGATGTGACAGTTCCGGTGACCTATATCCACTCTTTCCTCCTAATCAAGCCAACCCTTCATTCCAACATTCTAATTTTACTGCTCTCTCTTCCGATCTATGGCATAATCGACTTGGACACCCGGGAGATGTTGTTCTTAGATCCTTAAGTAGTAAAATTTTTATTGAATGTAATAAGGCTTGTAATTCTTTTTGTTCTTCGTGTCCATTAGGGAAACACGTTAAACTTCCTTTTTATGATTCTATGTCGCACACTGCTTTACCTTTTGATATAATTCATAGTGATCTATGGACTTCCCCTATTGTCAGTTCTTCTGGTCATTGTTATTCTCTCTTGTTTCTTGATGATTACAGCAAATTCTTATGGACTTATCCAATTGCGAAAAAATCCGAAGTCAAACACATTTTTCGGTCTTTTCACAAAATAGTCCAAACTCAATTTGAACGTAACATTAAGACCTTTCAATGTGATAATGGCACCGAGTATGTTAATGGAACTCTTAAAGATTTTTTTGATAAACATGGCATGCTCTATCGTCTCTCTTGTCCTCACACTTCTCCTCAAAATGGTAAAGCTGAACGACACATAAAAACCATCAATAATATGATTCGGACCCTTCTTGCTCCTGCATCCTTGCCCCTCTCTTTTTGGCACCATGCATTATCTATGGCTACCTATCTTCTAAACATTCTACCAACTAAAGTCTTAGGTTATAACTCTCCAACACAAGTTTTATACCAACGTGATCCAATCTATTCGGCATTACGTGTCTTTGGTTGTCTATGTTTTCCTCTTTTTCCTTCTACCTCCATAAATAAATTGCAAGAACGGTCCACTCCTTGTGCTTATCTTGGCCCCGCGCCTAATCATCGTGGTTCGAAGTGCTATAATCTATCAAATGGAAAAATCATCATTTGTCGGCATGTGAAATTTATTGAAAGCGAATTCCCGTTTTCAAAGGTTCACACACCGAAATTAGATGATTATGATTTCTTGGACTACTCTCCACCAAATCATACTCACCATTTGCGCACCGCTCAACCTCACCCAACTCCTTCTCCAGTCCAGCCCACTTCGTCTAGGCCTTCTTCCTCTAATATTCCTCCTCCTTCTCCACCTGGGCCGAATCCATTTCCACTTCAGCCCACGCCCCCAAACAGCCCGCCCTCACTTCGGTCTCCTCCTTCTCCAGGACCAAGTGATGGGTCACCTTCTGGGCCTTCGTCTGTCACCATCTCGCAAGTTGGCTCTTCACACCCAGAAGCCCAATATACACTCCTCTCCTCACTCCCCCTCTATTTTCCAGCCCAATCTTCACTTCCTCACGAAGTGAAGATCTATCTCACCCACTGACTGCCAGCAGCCACGACTCACCTACCTCACCCACCTCGGCCACCGCTCCCCAAGATACCGCATCTCACCCAATGACCACTAGAGCTAAAGACGGCATTATTAAACCTAACCCAAAGTATTTTTCCAACTTAAACACCATGACCACCACCACCATTTCTCCTATACCAAAGGACCCGGTTAGTGTTATCAGTGACCTAAATTGGAAAAATGCAATGTTAGATGAATATAATGCTCTTATTGATAATCATACATGGGATTTGGTTCCTCGGCCACCTAATGTGAATGTCATTCGTTCTATGTGGATATTTCGTCATAAACGAAATTATGATGGTTCTTTTGAGCGGTATAAGGCTCGTCTTGTGGCTGATGGTAAGACTCAGCAGCAGGGTATTGATTGTGATGAGACTTTCAGTCCGGTTGTAAAACCGGCCACTATTCGTACTGTTCTTAGCATTGCTATCTCTCACTCTTGGCCGATCCATCAGTTGGATGTCAAGAATGCTTTTCTGCATGGTAAGCTCAATGAAACAGTGTATATGCATCAGCCCATGGGTTTTCGCGACAAAAGTCGCCCTGATCATGTGTGTCTATTGCGAGGCTCTCTCTATGGTCTCAAACAGGCTCCTCAAGCCTGGTATCAGCGGTTTGCAGATTTTGTCATCTCTATTGGATTTGCTAACAATAAATCTGATAATTCTCTGTTTATATTTAGGCAGGGATCTGATACTGCCTATATTCTGTTATATGTTGATGATATCATACTCACAGCTTCCTCTGATCGCTTACGGACACGTATTATGGATCTTTTGGGCTCCGAATTTGCTATGAAGGATTTAGGTCCTTTGAGTTTCTTTTTGGGCATTGCTGTCACTCGTGATGCTAATGGTATGTTCTTGTCTCAGAAACAGTATGCTTCTTCTATCATTGATAAGGCCGGCATGTCCAACTGTAGTCCTTGTCCGACACCAGTTGACACAAAATTCAAACTTAGTGCTTCTCATGATGCTCCATATGAGGATCCTACTAAGTACAGGAGGCTTGCAGGTGCCCTTCAGTATTTGACCTTTACTAGACCTGACATTTCTTATGCAGTTCAACAGGTTTGTCTCCATATGCATGATCCGCGCAATGCGCACATGGGAGCTTTGAAGCGCATTATACGCTACTTACAGGGCACTTTGTCTTATGGTTTGCATCTGTATAAGTCCTCCATTACTAAGCTTGTTGCTTATACTGATGAGGATTGGGGGGGATGCCCCGACACCAGGCGATCTACTTCAGGTTATTGTGTTTTCTTAGGGGATAATTTGATTTCCTGGTCTTCAAAACGGCAACCTACATTATCTAAATCTAGTGCAGAGGCAGAATATCGTGGGGTTGCTAATGTGGTATCTGATTCTTGTTGGATCAGAAATTTGTTGCTCGAGCTCTATTTTCCTATTCAAACAGCAACTATTGTGTATTGTGACAATGTGAGTGCCATCTATCTTTCTGGTAATCCCGTGCAGCGCCAACGCACGAAACACATTGAGATGGACATCCATTTTGTCCGTGAGAAGGTCGCAAAGGGCGAGGTACGAGTTTTACATGTTCCCTCTCGGTATCAGATTGCAGATATTTTTACGAAGGGACTTCCCCGGGTTTTATTTGATGATTTCCATGCCAGTCTTAGCGTCCGTGACTATTTCGCTACGACTGCGGGGGTGTGTTAGAATATATGCAAATATATTCTTGTATATATCTCTTGTTTATATTAGTTAAGTGTATATTTAGGATTAATCCTTTCCTAGTTTGTTACCGTAATTATAGCATTAGATTGCTATTGTAATTTGTATATAATATTTACACAGCTAATGAAATGATCCAACGATCATATCACTTTCAGTGCCTGCCAAAAACAAAGGGGGCCTCCTTTAATTTGGTGGAATGGTGGGTGTGAAAAATGAAAATAAATCACATTTCATCATTTCAATTACCATATTTCCCAACATGTGTAAAGCAATGTGTTTTTTGCTCTGATTCCCATCAGCATTTCTTTTTTGAGTTAAAACATTCTAAGTTGAAGATTAGGATGTGGGCTCCAATGTTGGTCCTACTTAATCGCAAGTATCTGTGTTGGATTCTTGATAATTTACTACATGATAGTCAATTGACACTTATAAACAAAAGAGGTACAGTTTTATTTACGAACTTACACACTTAACTATCTTTGACACAGTATCGAGTTTGAGTAACATGCTAGTCATTCGCTTATCCCACACAAATTTATTAGATCTAGCCCTAATTTATGTGACAATTTTACATGGAAACGTGCGTGAAATGAGCTCCTTGGACTTGGCTTGTTCTTGTGTTTTTTGTTACTATCTCCGTTTCATATTATTTGCAACGATTTGACATGAAATAGAGAGGGAAAATGTCTAATGGTTGGAAGTAATATAAAACGGAGGTAGTATACGCTTTGCCTACCTCAAGTCCTCAATACATTCAGCTAACTAAATATGAGCAAAATTGGGTGAGCACTAGCCACTTGTCCACTTGGTATCATGGCTTTAGAGTCGTACTTCATAACAATATAACATGATGTATACTACGTATGTCTTTAACTCTAAAGATTGATTTTACTTGTCCACTGGCACTTATTGTGAAAGCAGATCTTAACCGATAATAGTGATCATATAGTGTATCTTATGGCTTGACATTCCACATTTTTTTTTTTTTTTTTTTTTTGACAAAGTTGACATTCCACATTGTTTTGGGTATAAAACATTCAACAAATTAGGGGGTATTTCACAATGTCACATCGATGAATTAAATTAAATTGAATATATCTAGGAATTGCCCTATTGACAACAATTTAAGTAGTCATAAATGTCTTTTGACCAGTAGGTCTAGAGCTCTATATGTAATGAACCCTTTGTGTCATCATTAACACAAAAGGGTTTACTATGAACCTCACTTAATGTAACAAGACCCAGCTTGACTTGGGTTATCCAAGTTACTCTTGGTTGCCGAAGGCTCAAATAGGAAAGATATTTGGGTACTTAAACAAGATAGCATATCATTCGTAGTTTCTATTTCAGTATAGACGTATAGTTATAATGTTAATTCTCGTATTATTTTGAAACTTACAACAGATAAGAAATACGAGTAACTCAATAACACAAACAAATACTTCCTCTACTTTATATTAGTTGATATGTTTTGCCTTTGAACACTTCCAATATAACTTATTTTAACTTCCTTTTGTGATGTATACTTCGCGAAAAACATAGCTATACAAAACATTCGTCTCAATGTAAAATTTCATAGATAAATTTTATAATGTTGGCAAACACGCCCAAAAAATTGACCAACTTAGTAACTACTCTCAAGTTTTTTTTTTCCAAGTCTTGAGTATAAGGACACCGTCTTCTTGCATAAATTCCAATGGTTTTGACAACAGATGCAAGACATGACGGATCAAACTAACTTGAAAACCAGACAAATAATATTGAAAATTCTAAGCAACCGAAACAAATTCAATACGCTAAACGCTAAGCGAGCCAATTGAGAGTTTGAGACTGGTGATTTCTTACCAATGACCAACTCACGTTTATATGCCCACGTATGAGAGTGAAGCTATTATGGGAATAGAGAAAAGTTCGTTATTATGTACTCCGTATTCGCCTTCATTTCATCCTCTATCATGCTTGGATGGCTGCTCAAACTGAGCTTTTTAGATCATAATATACTACATCAATATATTTATGTTGCTCTTTATGAACTGTTTGCTTCACTTGTAACAATTTAAGAAAGAGTCACAATCAAATGAAAACTAAAACAAATTATGATTAGAAAGAAAACCGGGACATATCTTCATTGATAACGATTGATTACTTGTCTTCCTACATGCATATTGATTGCAAGCTGACGAAAATGATACACATTACCTTCAACAATTTAAAACAAGTACTAAGGGTTTGTTCTCATTGACTGAACTGAACTGTGCTGGGCTGAACTGAAATAAATATTTTATAAGAGAAGGAAATTAGGAGCTGAGCTGAACCTGAGCTGAACTGAATTGAATTTCAACGTATGAGAACAGGCCCTAAGACCTGCTCTTTATCATTAGAGTTTTGAGAAGACTTCTATGATAAATGGACAAGACATCGGGATTTTTTTTTACCACTATAGGGACTAGAGTAGCCAAGCATTTGAATATGACTTGTTTCGTACAAAGGCACATATGTGATAGAGTACATGGTACTCGAAGTGCATGCAAGTATTACTCGAATATGTTCCTCGATAATCATGAGGATCACTTGCACCCTCGCACTTGTAACAATTTTTTATTGTCCATTACAATTACAGTACATTGAATCATTCGCTCATACAAAGAAGTGAACATGTGTTCAACATCTATAGTTCTTGTGCAATAGGTGAAATGCACCAACTAGTTCAAAGCAAACATTTTCATGCCAAAAAAAAATAAGAACATCAATAGTTCAATACATATATAACTTTCAGCCTTTAACAGAAAAACAAGATGGGAGTTCACAGGAATTACACCTTAGTCCTTACATGCCCTAAACCCCTGATTTTGTACCAAATGCAAAAAGTATACGACTATACATATCGGGGAGAGGGGAAGGTTAATGCCGAAAGCCTGCAGTAGTATTCTAAATTTGTCCATAAAAAATAGAGCTAAAACCCATAACAACCGTTCCCAATGGTAAAGCATGAGCAAGCTTGCATCTTTAATAAAAATAACATAAAGAATTTACCAAAACAAAGAAGCTTCACCATTACAAGAGGTTTCTTAAAGTAATCACTAGATAACTCAGTAGTTTCCCAGATAAAGTAATCACTAAACTCTCCCACATAAACTTTGTAGTTTCCCCCCTTTTTCGGATTATTAAATTTTATGGATTAAGCAATTGATACACAGTTCCAGAGATGTTAAGATTTTACCTCATGCCTCACATGAACAAAAGAACCACAGCACAACAGAAGACAACAACCAGTTATTACGGAGCGCAATCACTGTCTGTACTCTTCACACGAATAATATATACAAGCAGCATATATTAAAAAATGATTTCTAACTGAGACAGCTGATTAATTAATAATGCTTAAGACAAACTTAAACATGGTACCAAAGTCCAAAATGACACTTGTGCAAGGGTTTCAATGTTACACTACTAAACTAAAACAAGTAGTTCCAACTAAATAAAACGGAGTATCGTACATGTATACTCCGTAAATCACTGTAACACAGTTCAAAAGCATATAGAACAAAACACGGCTAATTAAAAATTAAACAGAGCCAGATCTGTCTGACATATTCCGCATTTCCACCAAACTCGCAGGATGTCGTCAAAGAGATACTAATTGTTTATCATGATCAAGTTGTTTTATAATTAGGGTATATCATCATATATAATAGAATCTACCAATTTAAAACAAAAAACACCAAAAGAAGCAAGAAGCTTGCATTGCTAAGGTTATAAGACATACCTCGTTAAGCTGAAAGGGACGTGATGACTTAATCTCCCTGCTTACCAAAACTCGATCCTCAACCACCCCAAAAAGAACTTAACTTGAAGGATTGGTAGATTGCAACACAGAATGTTTCAACAACAACTAAAGTTGGATTTAAATAAATATATTAAATGGTAAGAAACATTATAAGATTCAAAAAGGCCACCCACCAATATTAAGGGAAAAGGTATGTATGTATTTGCATGGGCTAAACTGTTGAAATTTTGATTCTTTTCACTATACTAAGCGAGAAGCAGCAATTAAGGTAGCAAAATATATATTAGACGCGATTTAAGAATCAACACATAAATACGGTTCCCATATAGTCAACATACAGGCCACGGATTCTACAAGATACACAAAAACATAGAACCACAATTCTACCAGTTTGCAGAAAAAAGGGGTAAAACATCATACCCATATCTAACATTCGCCACTAACCGAAAGAAAATGAGCACCAGAGTGTCAGCAGCTTCTTTATGACATAAGGGAAAATAGGTGCTATCCAAAATGAATCCAGCTAAAGATCGGAAAACAAATTCAACAAAGATTCACAACATTGAGTCTGTACGAGCAGGCAACCTTCTGAAGAAATTGAGGGGAACAGACGGAAGCTTATGACGGAACCTTGGGTGTCTTAGCACGTAAAACCCAGTCAGAAGAGCCACAACCTGGAATGGTGTGACATACAGAACAATGGCAGCAACCAAGCAGAATATAACAAACAATGCGGTGGCTCTAGGGTCCCGCCAGCTCAGCAAAGACTGGAGCCTCTCACCCTGAGTTGCCAAGTCACCAACAACAGTCTGGATCCTCCCGGCTATACTCCTCAAACGATCATACCTCATTCTCACGATATCAGCTGGCTTAGAAGTTGGAAATGTATCAAATTCTTCATCCAATTCATCGGGGTGTGCAGAATCTGCATGAGATAGGCGTGTGTCCATGTGGGGTGGATTCCTTGGCCTCCATCTATAGTACCATACACCAATGAGGAACAAGTACAAGAATATTGTGGGCAAAATTAATTCGGGGTACATGACCAAAATGAAGAACAAGATGTGGATAAGAACAGTGGTGATGGGGTTTTTCCAGTTGCATATTTGGTCAAACCATTTTCCGACAGCAATCACCCCACCCAAGACGTTCATGATCCTGAAGAAATTCGCCTTACTCCGTCTCATACTCCACATATGAGATCCCACATCCAACATGTACTCGACCACTTCCTTCCTCAAAGGCGGCTCAGCACGACTCAACCTCATTGACACAATCTGGGTGGCCTGGTGCCTCAAGTTATCAAGCTGACTCACAGTTAAGGGATGAAGATAATGCATCTTAGGAAGCAATGGATGAGAGTACATATGCATCATATTCAGCAACGATGAACATGTGAACCTCACAGCCAGTTGAATTTCACCCATCTTCTTCACTCCTGAAGGATGCAACACCAATAGCGGGTATGCATGAGTGTACACACGATCAGTTTCAAGGGATGAAAGTCGAATCCTCACTTTACCAATTCTCGAATCTCTTGCTCCACCACCTTTATCTCCTCCACCTCCTCCGTGTAGATGACAATTGTCAAATACTCCAACAGTGATGACAGTGCAAGGATCAAACACCTCCCATGTATACTGCTCATTCCACTTAGGACTAAAACTATCAATGATAGTTCTTGTTCTCACCCATTTTTGACCATATTTGGCAACACAATAAGCATCAGTGGTCTGACGGCCATCCTTCACCTTCATCGGCATCAAACCCTGTGCAGTTAAGACACCAAGTTCAAGAACTCCAATGCTATGCTTCCACAACTGTTTAGCTGTTGGCCTGAGATCACTACTGTAATGTGTCGACTCATCCAAAACATGATAACCACCTTCCAAACAGACCCTCAGATGAATACGACTGGAAAACTTGATTTCCTTCTTTTTCTCACCATCTACAACAATATGTTTCTCAAGATTGAACCACCTAGTGTTAACCGGTTTATGATCCAGCCGCCTGTCAACATATTGCAGAGGAATTGCACACCTGCCCAACACTTCATCCTTGTTAGGCCCAACTCTATCCTCCACACTCAAAATCAAGGGCTCTTCAAAAGGCTCCGCCGCTACAAACATAAGGTCTTCATTCCACATAGGATTGATGGTCCTGCTCTGAGAGACTCTAGTTCTAAGAGCCTGGCTTCCAAGAATAGCCTTAACATAGACTTCAGGAAATCGTCCTTTGTCACCCGGAACCAAGTCCTGAGCCTCAATCACATTCACCCTCAGGTACCAAAGCTTAGGAGACAAATACACCTTCGAACGAATATTAGCAAGAGCATCCGTCCCACTAACAGTAGCAGCATCCGAATGCCACGCCTCAGGAAACGCTTCATCAGCTTGAGTACCCCACCACACAGCTAACATCAACTCTCCCTTACCCTTATCACCCTTCCTGTCTTCAAGTCTATACCACTGCGGCGCCAAAGGACTATCCGGTGGCACTCTCTTCGGAACCTCATTAAGATCAAACAACACACGGCCAATAAAATCATCCTTCACAACATCCTTATCCTTCACAGTAACCTCAAGAACCGATGCCTGAATTCGTTCCTTCGAAAAGGCAAACACCTGACTCCATTCAGGATTCGACTTCTTCTCAAAATGTCGAGTCGTACCCTTATAGTTCCCAAGCCTCACTTCAACATAAGGGTCACAACCACCAGTAACATCCATACTAGGTAAATCTTTAGCCTTAACAACCCTCACATAGAGGTATTGCATTTGCTCAACAAGATCATAAGTACTAGTAAGCTTATCACCAGTTACTTTTCCACCACCAAGGTGGGGATTTGTCTCTTTCAGAGAGAAATCTTCTTGAGGAGGTTTCTGCATTTTACTGGGTTTTCCTTAGCAATCCACCAAAAATTCAAACTTTAACCAGCAAATATAATTTTGAAATTCAAATTTTTGTTATCTAACCCTTAAATTTCGGAAATGAGTTCAACCCACCAACTTAAATATACTCAACACCTTACCACTATATTTCTTTCCACATTTTTTTCAATTTTTTTTTTAGAAAAAACATAAATTAGCTGCAAAACCCCAAAAAAGACCTGAGTTAAAGCATTCACCCACAGATCTCAACCGCTCAAATCTGCAAAAACCCAGAAAAACAAAGCAATAAATACCCAGAAAAATCATATTTTTAATTCAGCAATAAAAAATGACAATGCACCAAAATTCCACCACATGCAACAAACTCTGCAAGAAAAATTAAATAAAAACAGAGGATTTATGTAACAAAGCATGTTAAGCAGAACTGAACCTTAAACTAAAACATCAAACCTAGAAAATGTGCAAGAAATTAATGAAGTTTAACATTAGAAAAAAATAATAATAATAAGTGCCAAAAAAAAAAAACAGTTAGGTAGCAAACCTGAGTTCTGGAAGCTTGAAAAGACACCAAATTGGAAGAGAAAAAACCCTAAATTAGGTGAATCCAAGAAAAGGGTTTCACCAAACTGTAGCAAATTGAAGATTAACACCCTTAAACTAAAATTTCAAAAAGGGAAAAAAATCAAAAAAATAATCAGATAAAATGAGTGAAAAACAGAGTAAGAACAGAGTTAGAAAATTAAAAAGATAAATAGAAAAGGAGAATGGGATCTGAAGAATCGGAGAGAATGTGAGAAGAAGGATACCCACAAAAAAGAAAAAGAAGAGAGAAATGAAGAGAGAAGAAAGGTTAATGGGTAGTAATAGTATGTGTCACATTCAGAAAAACAAGCTCAATTTCTCTCTCTTGAAAAAGTATGTAATTGGGTGAAGGAAGGATGAGTATTGAATTTCTCTCTCTAACTTTAGCTAGTTTTGTCCTGTGGTGGGCGCAACACCGTAGCACAAACAATTCACGACGATGTGTCACGCGTGATACTTGCTTATTGTTCGATTTTGCCTAACGTATGTATCAGTAAATTTTTACCGAGTACTCCGTATTTGAATTGAGGAGGGGACATTAATCAATCAATCAATTACGTATTATTAAAAGCAAATCTTAAAACACATTTGTTAATATATTATTAAAAAGTTTCTCATTAAAAGTATCTTTTAAAAAAATTATTGTTAATTAAGGAAATAAAAAATTATATCTTAATTATGACATAATTTGTTTTATATAAAAATATAAATCTTTTCCTAAAAGATTAAACTATTCATTATAAGTTTATAACTATTACATGTTTTTTACATATTTTCTCTTGCATGCTTTTATTTTTAATATACTCTATATTTTTTAATACTCGAGTCATTATATTAAAAAATTTATAATAAAATTGTCAAAAATATTTAATAACCGTACTATATACTAAATACTAAAAGCACAAGCTTTTAAAAAAATCGGGTGTACAATAACTATTGTACATCCATTATAAAGATAGCGTAAAGTGATTAAAAGTTACCCCTGAAATAAATAAAAGTTACCCCAATATGCGTAAAAGTAACCCAATTCAAATAAAAATTATCTACGCTTTATTAGTAAAGAATCACATTTTAAATGACTAAAAATCAATTATTAGTGATTGAATGTAATTAAATTACCTTTATAAAACTTTTCTTGTTGCCTAATTATATAAATTGTATTATGTTTAAAGTTACCCAAAAAAGGCAAAAAGTTACCCTAAAATTAGCTAAAAGTTACCCTTATATTGCTCGATGTATACTAATATTAGTGTAAACCGGATGCGTACAAAAGTTTTTGTACTAAAAGATACACCAGTAATAACACGTGTCATAGTGTGTCCTTAGTTTATTTTTAAAAAGAAAATAAAAAATTGATAAAGAATATACGCAAAATATTTTATTTCAAAAACTAGGAAAAAATAATCCTATAATAATATATTTAACAACTTAAATATCTAACCATATCTTTACATATGAGTTATTATATACGGAGTAAGTAATTACTTTTTAATGTATAAAGATTATTATAGTAAAAAATCATGAATATAGTCAATATGGTTCAAAATAGAAGAAAGTTTGAATAAAAAATATAATATGAAGTCATAAAAGATTAAAATATATATATATATATATATATATATATATATATATATTTAAAGTTGTTTGAATTAGGATGATATAAGAAATTGATTTTGGACCAAATTATTTTTTATATTTAAATATATATTTATATATTAATACTTCGTAGCAAAAAGTGAAAAACCGTACATGGCAGTAGGTGTCAAAGTCGAACCCGATTGATTTGAATAATCCACAACTTAAATTTTAATTTATTTGAACACAATCAGGACTCAAGTTTGAAATTAAACCTGGTCTGAGTTTATCAAATCCGATCCGAACATTTAAAATATATATATATATATATATATATATATATATATATATATATATATATATATATATATATATATTGTTGGAAACTAGGAATATTTCATGTTGATATTGGGTGTTATATTAGGGGAATTTGGAATTGAAGGAAATTTGGAATATTTCACGTTGATACCTTGATCCTTGGCATATCAAAATTGGTACTTCTCCCTTGATAGTTGATACCTTTGCATATCAAAATTGGTACTTCTCCCATTGCTTTCGAATCAGCTTTCTAATTTGATACTATTTTGATTTTTGAATTTAAAAAAAAAAAGTTTTTAAAAGTTTTATAAGGGGTTCTTAATGTATATTTTATGGGTAATGATATATGCTATCCTTAGAGGTTAGGGTTGTATATATGCATTTAATATACTTCTTTTTTTAGTATTAAGTTGAGAATTTATTGACAATTCACAAGTAAATCGGTGTAATAAATGTTTATATATTGTCAATTCTTTTCATTTTTAGCTTCTTACTAGTGTAAGACCCGTGCCATGCACGAATAAAATTGAATCATTATTATTATGATTAATAATGGTCAAAATATAAGACAACCTTTTTATAATCGGTATTGTTAATATTTTTTTTTTACGGAGAATTAGAAGTTAATTTAGTAAATGTTTAGCCATTTTTTATAATTATATACATTAATACATATATAAACTAATGAGTCTAAAGATATCGTCTCAAGATTGTTCTTTTATATTGAGTTTTTTTTTTTTTAAATACCATCCAACATTTCTATAGTTAAACTTTTAGATCCATATATAAGGTCGTGGTGGGTACATATATTTTATTTATATGGACAAAATAATTTAACAATAATGTTTTATAAGTGAAAAATAATTTGCACGGACCTAAATCTAACCATTTCTTAAATTTTTTACCATTGAATAAGACTTTTAATTGTTACTTGTCGTATAATACACATATTATATAGTATTGTCTATTGTGGAATATAATATATGCATTATCTTAAAATATTATTTTTATTACTATTGATCAGCAGTAAGAATTTTTATTACAAATTCTTCCGTTTTGTATAATGTGTTTTCCGGCTTTCGGTGAACGATGTAACTTTCATTTCTACCAAACCATAGGCTAGAATCTACGTTGCTTATTCTGGTGTTATTAGAGGAAGATGCTAGTTCACTCGAAGCACCCAATTGACATTGACCCACAAATGATCGTTCATAATCATTTGAAGTGTAAAATTGAGATTTTTTAAGTTTATTTACACTATGTCATAGTGCTTGTACTATAAGCCATTTTAAAGGGTAGCTAAATTACAACAAAAATGAAAAAATTGTCACTAATTTGAAGTCATAGAAGCAAAAACTTACAATTTGATATGTCACTGAGTGGTCTTCTTAGTTGATTATCTGACCTTTGTGAATGATATGATAGTCGTTGTTGCTTTTCCTTCAAAATTCAATATGTATTTAACCTTGCATTTTTTTATCGCATTGATCCATATCTTTGATATGAGTTAAAATGATATCATCTAACTATACATGTATATATAAAAAAAATTGAGAAATATATATGTAACTAATGTATATTTAGATTATCAATCAGACAACCTTTTTGTGTGATTTTATTAATAAAATTAATATTTCATAGTAAGTGAATATATTTTTATTTTGATGGCAGTAAGGGAATATATATAGAATACAAATAAAACTATATCTAGATAGTATTGTGGAGTTGCTTAAATAAAATATAGTATTGTGGAGTATAAAATTTATATTAGAATATTTAAGATTTTATATTGCTTTTTAACATTATTTCTATTTTAATAATGATATGGTTGATACTTGATACATTTACTATAAATATATATTTTTATATTAGTTAAATAATAATAATGAATCACTCAATTGTTTTAATCAAGATTATGAGTCACTTATTTCCAAAGAAAAAAAAAAGATTATGGGTCACTTTTAAAAAAATAAGTACTGGGAGATTTATGGGCATATGTTAGATAATCATTCTTTGAATTTATGGGTACATTTTACATCATCCTGTCTTTGATTCATCTTTAGTAATTGAAAATCTTTAATAATTGAAAAGGTTTGGCATAATTTTGTTGGTGATGTGGCTAGTGCTTAGAATTATATTACAGAGTACCTTAATTCTTTATTATTCAACTTTCACGGTTTGTTATGGCTTATTATGTACAAATCAAAAATTACAAATGTGTGATATTTGCTATAAGTGGCGTTTCAATGTGTAGTATTTAAATATCATGTTTTCAACTTTTCATAATTAATTTTTATATGTAATTAAAGTGGTACTTAGTTATATATGTAAGTTAATTATTATTATTATATAAAATTTAAGTGAGTAAGACAAATAGAAATAGACGGAGCGAGAAATTTTAGTGAGGTTATTCTATAAACCTAAAGATATATTCTCTTATTAATATCTTTAACATAAATAAAGATAAATATATTATTCTCCTAATAGGATCAATACAGAAAATATATCACACATATATTTTCCAATATTGATGATATCATATATCTTAACAATATCATAATTATTGAAGGTGTCTAGCAAAATAGCTCACATTATATTATTCTAAAAATAAAATTAGAAAAGAACATATTATTAATCTCAGAGTAACAACTTGAGCATACAACAAAGACTCGAGAATCATCTTCATCCTTTTCGTGCTCAACTTTAATCTTTCGCTGATATTTGGTTGTAGAAAACTCAGTTGATGTAAATTGGTCATCTGCATTCATGTCATTAACATCTTTAAATACACCTTTTTTTATTCGGCGTGGCACCACTATTTGAACAATTGTCATCCGAGTGCTCGTTGCTAGAAATCTGTAATTTTAATGTATGTATTAGTGATATTAAAAAAAATTACTAAAAATATAAAATAATATTTGTATTTAAGATGACTATGGAGTGAAAAAAAACCTAATAATATTGATACCTGCCATATTGCAGTCATTGCCAATATGTGCAAAAGCTAAATAATAATAATAATAATAATAATAATAAAACGAATATTAATTATTAATCATCATAAACCTTAAGTCGAAACTAAGTAACAACCTTATAAGCATTGTCCGACTCCTCAAATCTATAAATCTATATCTATAAATATAACTAAAGTAACAACCGCTAACATAATCCCCTATTTAAATTGTACAAATGTCAAGTTGTGGTAAAAAATTAAAATTTCCCGCCTAAATCAATTGCTGACATCATATTCTTATTTTTATTTTTACTTATTTTTTAAACCTTTTTATTTTTTACCTTGAATTATTAAATTATAATACGGAGTTTTTTTTTTTTTTTTTAAGATAATTATTATAATATGTTATTTCTATTTTTATTTTTTTTACAAACCGTAATAAGATGATAACTTGACGGCATGGATGCTCAGATAAATAATCTTGTAATTGATCAGCATATCGATTCCATAAAGTGCATCTTAAAACATTATTTCTGAATTTAATAAACAGAAATATCATTAATTCAATATTTACTATACCTTTTCATCCAATAGCACCATCCAATAGCACCATCTCAATAGAATAGATATCAGCAGAATTGGAGAATGATAGTGCCCATAAACGAATAACTCTAACTCGCAAGGTTACATTCTCAGTAGTAGGACTTATGTCCTTGATGAATACTAAATTTTCAGCCATGAATGAATGAAAATTATGGTTAAATAATATAATAATAATGGTTGAACAGTATAATAAGAATTAAAACCCAAATCAATTGTGATCAATGATTATATATGGTTTATATATAGGGAATAGATTCTACACTATCTTTTCACATTATTTACTCGTAGCTCTCCTCAATCATGCATAAAATTGATATTGAAAATTGCAACTATATTTAGATAGTATTGTGGAGTATAAAAATAATATTGGAAGTTTGAAAAGATTTTATACTACCTTTTCACATTAATTCTGTTTTGTGAACGATATGGTTGATATAATTACTATATATGTATATATTTACTATGTAAAGAATAATAATCAATCCTAAGAAAAAAAATATAATAAACCGATTGGTAAAGAATAATAATCAATCCTAAGAAAAAAAAAGAGTTAATTTTTTTATGCAATTTCAATTTCAATCAATTGACGGACTACCTAAATTGAAACATTGTAAATTAAACCTAAATTTCATAAAATTCACAGCTAAAACATTCAAACAAAAATAAAAATCAAATATAGCAACAATCCAAAAAATTAAAGTTGATAAATTGATTCAAGAGCAATAAAAATGAAAAATGAAAAATAAAAAACACTAACCTGTAATTGAATTAAGGGTTACGAAATGATGATGCTTTGTAATTGTACCTATATATCTTCGAAGTGTTAAAAATTGCTTTTTTCAAAGTTTGAAGAGGTGAAAAGAAAATCAGTGAAGAAAAAGAAAAGAGAAAGAGTAAGTTCTGGATGTTTCATCTTTGGGATTCTAGAATCATGGTGAAGTGCTCCGTATTGAACTATTCCTTTTCGGGTCTTTAAACAATAAATAATGTATAATAATAATAATAATAATAATAATAATAATAATAATAATAATAATAATAATATATAAGGAAATAATTATATATAATAAAAAATATAATATAATAATAATTTAGGAATTAATGAAATTGGCGGGAAAAGAAGAAATGACATTGTGCCAAGTGTCATGGAAGGTTTCGCTTTTAGTATAGGTTAATAGATTTGCATAGGGTTGCATATATCTTTTTCCATATTTTATATATTTTTAATGTATTAATTCGATGTTGATAAAGAAAATATGAAGAGAAAAAAACTTGACATTTAGATTTTATATCTATTAACTATTAATAAAACAAAACGTTGTTGACGTCATTCTTGTCCACAGGTCACTTTTATAATACTCGTTTTTTTATTTGCATTAGTTTAACCGATACATTTGCCGAGACACAACTTTGACCATTAATATCTTTAAGTGTAAATTAGTAAAAATTATATTATAGAACTTGACATTATGACGAATCTAATGATATATTATATAATAACATTTATTTATTTTATATAGCTGAAAAAATTAAGTCAACCATGGTATGTGAATAGTGTAAAAATCAAAGTGATGCATTTAAAAAAAACGGAGGGAGCAAAAAATTTCCCGCCTAAATGCAAGGGTAATGTCATTTTTTTTTTTTGGAGCTACCATATATAATAATTTTGAAATATGAACATTAATAGCTTTTACATTACCAGATTTACCACTACATCCTATCAATTTATCCTTAAAAAAAATAAAACAATTGTAAATAGCACACTAATAAATGGACTCTTACATTGAAATATGTATTAGGCAATGTTGAACAGGTGTTATGTCATAATTTTGATGAAAATCTAAAATTTTAAAATTACAAATATTTTTGTACAAGCTGCATAATCAGGGCCGTTTCTGAGGTTTTGGGGGCCCAAGGGCGAAAGAATAAATTGGGGCCCTACTTTATGCAATTTTTTTTTTTAATATTGGAGAATTTTTTTTTAGTACTTTAATTTGAACAAGTAATATTTTTTCAAAAAAAAAATTATTTTCAATAAATAATCTAGTTTTGACTACTGTTTTTTTTTTTTTTTTTTTTTTAAAAAAAGGGGTTCGAACTACAAACCAAGGCGCAAAATTTAACCTCACATATATACACTTTCCACCAAGCTACACAAACAGACATGATGATTAATGTATCTCTAAATTGAATATATCAATACTTCTGAACTTAAAAGGCTGAAAATTGGGCCCTCCCCATCCGTGGGCCCTGGGCGGTTGCCCCGGCTGCCCTGGGTCAGATACGGTTCTGTGCATAATTCTCATTTATATTTATCTATTTTTCTTTACACTACATACAATTAAATATAGACTTTATATAAACCGTGCATCGCACGGATTCTAACCTATTTAAAACTTACGAAGTACTTCGTATATCTATTCAAAAAAAAAAAAGTACTTCGTACATAATAATATTTCAAATAGTAACTAGTTTTAGGGTTGGGTGATGCCCTGGGTCATTTTTTGTATAAAAATATTATAACAAATTAAAGTGAAATTTATTGATGGTTTTATAATTTAATTTTTTTTTTTTGTTTTTGTAAATATTATCGAACATTATCAAAATTCATTATGAAATATGCATTAACCTAACTTTTATACTTCATATTAGTTTGTTTTATTTGTTAAAGGTTTTTTTTTTTTTTATTTTTTTTTTATCTACCATTAAAAATTTCTTCAAAGTAAACACATATTGTGATTTTGAAATTGCTACGTATTTTTGTGTTACATATTTTATTTACTTAAACCTAGTATAGGAATTATGGATGAGTAAACGAAATAATGAGATTATATTGAAATCAATTTAGAATTTATGAACATAAATTTTTTGTGAGGAGACATTGATGATAAGTTTTAATATGACATGACCCCACATTAGTTATCAAGTCATAACGACACGTGACATGATTACAATTCTTGCTATGTGTTTTAATAGATATATAGATAATTTTTCCTATACATAGATTACTAAAGATAGTCAATTCGACCAACCACATGAATAGTCTGCGAGGAGAACTTCATGTACCAAATGGAGTATGCTAACAAATTGCTCATTTAGTTACGGAATTTTATTTTACTTTTTTTATGTGGCGGTTTTTGTGTACCTGTAAGTGTAGCTGGTTTGCAACATGTTCACGAGGAAATTGATATTTGGAAGATGAATTTAATGCTTTTAATGTTTCATAACTATACATGACACCAAAAATGCATGTGTCCACACAAAATTCACATGAACTATTATTACAGTCTTGATAGCCTTAATTAATTTTTTTTTATAATAATATCCCAAAACATCAAATACTCCCTCCTTATTTAATTAAAGTTGTTTTCTTTGTCAAAATAATAATAATAATAATAATAATAATAATAATAATAATAATCAAAGTTGTATTGAGTAATAATTTAAATGTGATTGTACAAGTCATACATGGACCAAATTCATAATAAGTTTGTTTTGACATTGAATAGTGTAGTGCGCTCTTGCCTATTTTTCGACAATTGTGCAAGCAATTTTATATATTGGTGATGTGCTCTTGCCTAATAACAAATGCAAATATATATATATACATAATTTAAATGTGATTGTATAAATAAGGATTTTTTTTTACGCCTTTCTTACTAAGGTAAATCTCTATGTATATCCTCCTTTTGTTTATAACGTTATCAAAGACTTGGGAAGTCCTGTGACCCGCATCAAGCTAGAAAACTTCTGCTATCCTCCAAAAAAGAAAAATCATGTATTCCTTAACTTAGATTACTGAGTTAACACCTTAGCTACTTCAAGTATAGGTAGAGGTGCTACCGGATCTGCTAAACTAAAGAGAGGTGATGCGCCTTAACCACTAGACTACTAAGCACTTATGGTTATTTGATGTAATGTTTTATGTTAAAAAATCATTTTTCTTTTTGCTGGGTCACATGACCCACCATGCACAAGGTGGCTTCGCCACTGGCCATATAAGAATAGGAAATACTTTAATTATACTCCGTTAGTAATAAAGGAATAGTTACTTAGGGTGTATGTAGGTTAATATATTGATAAATAAAAAAAAATCCTTTACAAGATGTTGCATTAGAAAAGAAAAAATTGACAAGAATGATCCCAACTTTGTCTCATTCGCTCAAAATAATCCCAAATTTGGATTATTTTTTAGTAATCCGAACTTTGATATGAATTTGTTTTCAATGATCCCAAGTGACCGGTAACTTGTTGAAAAGGTTAAAAAAAATTTCAATGTAATTTACACATGTAACCACATAATTGGTCAATAATTAACTAATTATTTTAAAACTGCCTTAAAGAAAGACTTATTTTAAAACTAACAATTTTAAAATAATTATATTAAGAAAACCACCATTAGCCACCTTCCCTACCCTCCACCTCTGCTCCCAACCCCAGCGCCGCCTAGACTCCTCATGTCGGCGTCCCCCCTCACCGCTGCGACTCTTTAACTCCTAATCCTCCTCACCACTACGACTCTTTAGCCCCCTTTCCTCGCAATGTTGCAAACCCTTTTTCCAACTAATTAACTCCCACTTACAACCCCCTTATGCAACCACAAAATCGGAAAAGGTCTGGGGGGGGTTTGGATGAGATTCCAACAGAGGTCATGGTTCGCGGGAAGGCCGAGGGTTTGTGATCAAGGTGAGGGTTGTAGGGGGGGTCTTTGGTTGATGGAGAACTAGCGAAGGAAGGGGATCGGTAGGGGTGTCGGGATGGGAGGAAGAGAAAAGAGGTGGTGTCGTAGCGCGGGAATGTGGTCTAGACGACGACCTGGCTGGCGGCGATCTATGCTAGGCATGGCACTAGTGGCGATTTTAAGTTAATTAGATGATTATTTTTTAAAAATTTTGCTTAACTAAATTCTTAAATTTGTTTTAATTTTTTACAGTAATATTTAAATTATTATTTTTAATTTTTTTTTTATCAAAATATATGCTAACACGTATTAAATAACTTGTTATAACAAGTTAGATTGCCGGCTGAGACCATTGAAAGCAAATTCATATCAAAGTTCGATTTAATTAAAAAAATCCAAAGTTTGGGATTATTTTAAGCGAACGAGGCAAAGTTGAGATTATTCTTGTCAATTTTTCCTTAAAAAAAATTAAAATAGGTAAAAATGAGTTTGAACGGGTAAAAAAATTAATTTAAATTATTATAATGTATGGGGTAATTTAACAAACAAATGGAACGTTAAAAAAAAAAAAAACTCTCTCATTTTTTTTTAAATGCATCAATTTAATCGACACATTGTCAAGACATAACTTTGACCATATATATTTAATTCTCTATTAGTAAAATTGTAATAAAATTAAATAATGATATGGAGTAATAGACATTATAACTAATGTAATGGTATATTCGGTATTATTTAAAAACATTTAAAGTGATGCATAAAAAAAAAAGGAAAAAACAGAGAAGAAACAAATCTAGTTTGAAATTAGACTTTATTCGATCCATTTTACCAATTCCGACTCCAACACCTGAATTGACTAGGGGCCTGTTCTGATTTACTGAAATGAACTGAATATTTTATGAGAGAAATGAATTAGACACTAAACTGAACTGATTGAAGATGAACTGAAATTAACCTAAAGAGAACAGGCCCTAGGAGTATCCTTAGAATATACGGAAAGGTAATATTATATGTAGCCATAAGAGCTATATATAAACATTAAATACACTCTTGGAAATTGTATAAAATTAGGAATTCAGGACAAAAACACGCGTAAATTAGTGTGATTAGTATTTATATTTTAATGATTTTTTAACTTTTTACGATTTTCAAGCGTAAATTTAATTCTTATATGTAGCGGCTAAGGGTTTGTTCTCATACGTTTATTTTTAGTTCAATTTAGTTAAGTTCAGCTCCTAATTTTCTTCTCTTATAAAATATTCAGTTCAGTTATG